TAATTTGCTATCTATCATTTTCACCCTCAGTCCTTAGCATTGAGTTATTAAAAATGAGTGGGGTAGGGACTGGAGAGATGGCTCATGGATAAAGAGTACTTACTGCTCTTGCAGAGGACCATGGTTCAGTTCCCAGCACCCACGTAGTGATTTATAACCATCCTTAACTATAGTTCTAGGGGATCTGACTGGACCTCTTCTGACCTTCTTGGGCACCAGGCACACACGTTTCACATCCATACGTACAGGCAAAACAGTCACACACATTGAAAGAAAAGTTTATTTTTAAAGAAAAAATGAGTGTGGGCTCTCAGGCTGATATTCCCGCTGAGCCAGCAATTAATTCCGCCCCAAAGCTGCTTCTATCTTGGTGCTTACATGGGGGAAATCTGACTTTTCAGTGCAGAATTTAATCAAATAGATTATCAGGGCAGGGTGAAAAGTTCTGTGTCTGGCTTCATTTCTTCAGTGGGCATCATCAGCCAGTGTTTATTTTCACTTACGGTGAAGAAAAAAAAAAGCAAATCTGGGAAGAAGATGTAGCTTAGAGTGTCTACCTAACATGCATAAAGCCCTGGAGTCGATCCTCAGCACCAAATAAGCTGAGCATAGTGATGTACACTTGTATCTTAGCGTATCTGAGGTGGAGACTTAGAGAATCAAAGACTTAAGGACATCCTTGGCTACATAGCAAGCTTAAGACCAGTCTGAGTTATATAAGACCCCATCTCAAAACAACCACAACAACAAAACCAAATAAAACAGCAATAACAAAAAACAAGCTCAACATCTACCAAGCTTGACAGCCTGAGTTCAATCCCCATAACCCACGTATTCAGTAGGAGGAGAGATCTGACTCCTACAAGTTGTCTTCTGATCTCTGCCTGCATATCATGGCACATGCTCCATGGTGCATGCATATACCTGTACATATAAATTAAATGCAATTTAGAAAAGTTTATCTGTGTAATCCTAGTGAAGAAGCATCATGCTTCCATCTCACGTGTCCTGATACAGATCTAGAGGCTCCCTCACATGGAACAATTGGATAGCAAGCATTTTTCTGCTGAGTTTGTGGCTTTCTTGAGGGAAAGGCCCTTTATCTTTGAATTTCTGTTTTCAGTTGCTTAAAAAAATGGTGTGTTGGTCACTGCATGGGCTGCAGAGCAAATGCCATGTTACATTCCTCACTTTAGATTTTACAACCAGAGACTAGAGTGTTATCTGAGTCAGTTTTCTCTTCCCAGGAAATAGACATTAGCAGATTAAGGTCTCATAGCTATCAGGTGGCCAAGGTGAATAGTAGATGTCAGAATGATAAACCACAGTTAAAAGGGGAGGAATTTGTATGCACTGTCATGTGTCTAGTTCATGGCAAAGGACATGGTATTTCTTGCTTGGCCTCTTCGGCTCAGCCCTGTGGAGAGATCTTTCCTGTCCAGTAACCTGTCATCCCCTTCTCTCTATGGTAGGTTGGCTATCAAGCAGGGAGCAATGGCCAGCCCCTTCCCTCGCAGTACATGAACGATCTGGACAGCGCCTTGGTGCCTGTTATCCATGGAGGAGCCTGCCAGCTCAGTGAGGGCCCTGTCGTCATGGAACTCATCTTTTATATTCTGGAAAACATCGCATAGATGAGGACTTCGTTTTTCTGTTCAGACCTGTTGCAACAGCAGTCATATCCAAATCATTTGCACTTTAAAACTGGAAGATTAAGCTTTTGTTAACACTATTGGTAGGGAGGGTTCAGGGTGGGAGTAGGGTTTAGGGGAAAAGGGGTGGGGAGGGTGGTGGGGAACAGATGTTCCATCATTTGAAGTCTTCTATGCATTCTCCAAGAAGACCCGGGCAGCTTCTTACTGCACCACAGTTATGCTATCTTCGCAGCTAACCCCCTTCTGTTACCGTCTAGACACGAATTCTGCTCCTCTTATGGTCATGTGCTCAGAAATGATCATATGGGTACAACCATCACCAAGGTCAGGGTGGGGGGCAGAAAGGAAATAAACAATGAAGCGTCACTTTTGCACTTCCTGTACAGAACTGGCATAAAAAGAATGCTTCACTGCTACACTTACCACCCTGTTACACTCCGGCTGCTTGCCAGGGAGTCACGTTTAGATTTGTGTTTATTTGTTCAGACTACCGACTGAATCAAACCAAAGGGGTTTCTCGTCTGTTAGCCATGGAAGGATAACTCGGCATAGAGCAGGCCATTTGGATGGCAGAGTTGAGTGCTGGGTCATTCAGTCTGCCGCAGTGAATGGCAGGGAGTGAGATGGGCCTTGTGTGACAATGGGCAAGGGACACCCAAGGCATTTTCATTTCCTGTCTACTAGAAATAGTTTGAAGAACATTTTACTAAGAAATCATACAATTTTATACAGCCTCACTCCTGTTCATACTAACCACTCCCCACATGATCTGTCAGTGTTCTCTCTCTCCTTCCTCTATAAAATTGAAGTATTTCAGATTAAGGTGCATACAGTACATGTTTGCTCCCTGCCCAAATAGGACTTCAGTCAAGGTCACTGTGACTGATGGCTTTAACCTCCCACCTGCCGCCCAGTGATGTCCTTTGGGAACCTTTGCTCAATGGTGAACATTTTCCAGCTGAGGATCAGACACCGCACATAGCTCTTAGACGGGCTTTGTTTCTCTGTGGCATGGGTATTTTTGAGTGTAGGCCCTCACATCCCGGATCTGGTTTTGTTTAGCAGAACACATGTCATTTGAGTTTGCTGTCTGACGGTGATCATCAGTTTATTACATTCTCAGCCGGAATCACTCGATGTCCTTCTACCTCTCAGAGATGGTAGCAGATTTCATCATCACTTGCTCAGCACGTCTAGTTTCCCTACTGTGTATTTCCCTTTAAACAGTAACCAGTATGTGTAGAGCACTTTTCAGACTGTGCAGATGTCTTGCTCCTCAGATTTTCCCTTAGCTTTAGCACCACTGACGTTTCTGGCCTGCACTGATCTTTTACTGTAGTTCCAGCATGCCCTTTCTTTACCAGCTGGACTTAATCATCTCAAACAAGTAAAACCTCCCTTCATCCGTTATTCAGTTCTCATGTTAGTCTTGTGGAGTTCCACTTTCTTAGTTTGGTACTCAGGTGAGTTCATCTTTGGCTAAGTACAACACCTCCAAGCTGGGTCCTGCATCCTTTCGTGACACATTTCTTTTTACTCCTTTCTGTCTAGCCTGACAAGATGCCCCAGGCTAATCTTGCACTTACCTGCCAGGCTTTATCTCTAAGCAGCCCTTTAACTGGAATAGTACAGGAAACCAAGGTCTGGTTCACCCAAGGCCAAATGCATTTCTTAGTTTGAAATATACTCTAGGGCAACTGATGCTAGTGTCCACGGCATCTTCTAAAGCCCGGACCACACAGGATCTAGTTCCATTAAGCAAAAGCAGAGTTCTCACATGCCCTGGGTTCAAATGCAGGCCTCTGGGACAGCGGGAGCCTGCTGCCACCCTTCTCCTGTGGTTAAGGCTGAGCCTGGCCCTTGGCTGTAGACCTGTTTGGGTAAGTAGCTGTTTTCTAAAGGCCCAAAGGCCTGGCCTGGCCAATGTGCCTGACTGTGACTATCTCTTTGCTGGGTGAAGATCACACTCTACACCCGATTCTCCAAAGGTTTTGCTGATAGAAGCTACAGAAATGGGATCACGACCTTTCTCTAAGATTTAGATACAAAGCCTCAGAGGTGCCTTTTGGCCCCAAACAGCACTAATTTGTAAGAAAAGAGCCTTTGAGCCATCTACAATGACAGGAAGCTCTTAACAAGAGAGGCATATTAGGTGTTAATATGAGCTTAGTCTGAATATACCTCAAAAGACGGGAGCTTCCACAGCAGCTGCTTCATCCCCCTGCCCAGCTAACTGCACCTTACTGTTGTTGGACTTGGATCTTCTAGAACATACAAGGTTTCTAACCATCCCACAAAGAACAAATTCTGGAGCCATAAATACAGGTCCGTTCTCAATTCATAAAATATCCTTCACGTGTAGTAAAATCATCTTGGAAAATTGGGCTAAGCCATCAAGGATACTTTTTTCTCCTTTTAACTTTGGTTTTATATAATGTGTACTGTAATTTATATTATAGAGTGAAATGCTGAAGCATCACATTCCTAACTAGGTGAGGATTTCTAGGTTTAAACCTAAAAGATAAATACAGAGCTTCTACATAGAAGAACAGAATTGCATCCTGGTAACATTGTTTTTAAAAAATTGTTGTATGCTTACCAAGTGTATTTGTAAGCATATATTGTATAATATATTTACTGGTTTTTTTTTGAGACGATCTTGTAGCCCAGGCTGGCCTCAAACTCACAATCTAGTCAGAGATACTATTTAATTCCTGATGTTCCTGCTCCTCCTCCCAAGTGCTAGGATTACAGGAAATGCCTGTAATATATACCTGGTACTCTGCATTTTTTCAGCGCTCTCAATACCTCCTGCACTCCAGTGACAGAATGATAGGACTGTCTAAGGTCCCATCTCCTGTCTTCTCCATCTACACTGGGCCCTGCTGGTGTCCTCCAAACTCCAATCAGACTTCTCTGACCATCTGAAAGATAATTATGCGTTTAGTGTATTTCTAACAGTAGCTTCTATTTTACTAATGCTAAAATTAAATAATGGTAATGGGATTTTTAAGAGTCATATACATAGGACCTAGGAATAAAGCAGGACTGCTGATGCCCATTTTAGGGGCCAGGCACCTAAGGCCCGGAGAAGGGGACAATCATCTATCTGATCCTTAACACATTAGGAATGGAGCAGGTACACGCTTCCTGGGACTACCAGCCCGTCCTGTTGTCTCAAACTCAAAACAGCTGACCTCATGTAGCACCGAGATCTTTTAGGGAATTCCACACATATTTGGTGGTGGTGAGGAGCCTTAAGGACTAGGCGAGCAACCACACAGGTTTTAGAGTGGTGCCACACAAAGGCAAAATCCTAGAAATCTTTGCCTTTCATGAGCAAAATTTCCTGACTCTCAAATTCCGTATTTTATTCAGTTAAGTCACTCAGAGGACACGCAGTGAGATACTTAGAAATGATTTCGGTTGTGGCTGGTTCTCAGTTATATCCAGGAACAATGTTTGGTTACTGTGGTTGAACAAATCTTACATAACTGAGGCTTTATGCAGGCCCCTCCCCCTACTCATGCATTCCTTGGCTCCAACAAAGACCTTTTAAGAACCTCAGGCTCCAAGTCCAGTGGGTGGCTGTCAGGCCACCCTCAGCCTGGGGTTGTTTTCACTAAGCAGAGCGATAAAGTGAACAAGTCGTAAAGGAATCCTTGAAGTCTCAGAACACTAGAGCAGTTCCAGCAGAGGGGCAAAGTGAGAAATGCCAAGGGCGGATGGGGATCTTGGAGAATAACCCCAGGGGTTCTTCATCGTAGCAAGCGCTGAGTCAGATGCAAACTGTAAGGAAAGTACACTCTTCAGGCCACCCCTCTCTGCTCTGGGTTCCTTCATGAAGGAAGGCAGAGACCCTTTCATTCCAAATCACTGCTGGGCACACAATGTGACGACTATAATTGTGAAATCTCTTACATAAGAAAGATTGGGGGCTCACATCTGCTAGGTGACTGGCCAGAGGGCTCTGGGGAAGATCACTCGTCTGCAGTTTCTCCCTTGTTACCCACTAATCATTCTGATAAGTTCTTAAGGGCAGGGAAGCATGGTCCAGCCTGTTATCTCCAACAGACACACAAAAGCTCACCCCTGAGCTGTGTTTATGCAACACTAGTGACCAGCAGCTGAATGTACTTCTTTCACGTAGAGCCTTCACAAATGATCTTGAGGAAGCCGGGCATGGTGGCTCGTGCCTGTAATCCCAGCACTAGGGAGGCTGAGGCAGGAGGATTGCTGTGAGTTCAAGACCAGCCTGAACTACAGAGACCCTGCCTTATACAACCAAAATAAATAAATAAAAATATAAAGTAAATCTGGAGGAAGACTTTGTTGAGGTTAATGCTTTAAAATGGGAAGAGTTGAGGTGCTGATTTCTGAGGAATCTAGAATAATGTGTGAATATTAACTCTGCTGCAACTGCCTGTCCCTTCATTTCCACCCATTCACCACAAAAGCTATAGAACTTGGGGGTAGCCAGTGATCAGCTCAAGGACAGGCCTTCTCATAAGAGGAATGCACAGGTACAGTGTACACACGATACTGCTGCTTTGGCTTTTAAAGGGACTGGAAACAGGGCATTTGTAGACTTTGAGAGTAAGTTAACAGTTTAGAACATAAAGTCCTTACAGGGCATTAGACCTAGTTTTAAAATAAAAATGGCTACACAGAACTGATCTTTTTTTTTTTTTTTTTTTTTCTTTTCTTCCCAGTTAACATCTTAGGTACATGGACCAAAACCAAGAAACCCTTCCCCTTCCCACCAATAGTACCAAAGTAACTTCCTGTCCTGAGTCCCCTGAGAAGCAGGAAGGCTAGTGCAGCAGGTGTCAGGACAAAAGGCACAGGCAGAGGGGAAAACAGCTGGGCGGGACAGGCTGCCACTGACCAGCTGGAGTCACGGAATTCTGCCCCTCCCCTAAGCAGGGAAGGTTTCCGATCACCCTCAAGTCTCCCATCCCTTAGAGTTACATCTTTGAAAGGCACATCCAGAAATGGAGCGACTGGGGGCTGGAGTAAACTGTCCATCATTACTATGCAGAGGTTAAGGGGCAATAGGACTCTATGGCACAGAGCAATGGGGGAATCCTTGTCTTCACCCACATCTGGGGGTGGGAGGCTGTATGAGAAGCCCCTAGGATCTGCTTCCATGGAGGCCCAGGAGAAGCAGCATGAGGAAAGCCCAGGCAGCGGTTAGTTCTCGGGTCTTTGGTGCTTGGGTAGCAGCATCTCTCACGTACAGAGGCTCTTGCAGCCAGCAAAGCTGGGTCAGTGAGCTGGTACCAGTGCTGGCCGATGATCTTCCAGGGCTGACCACCTCACAAGGCAAAAGCACAAAGAAAACCATCCAATTTTTAAAAGGTTTCTGAAAACAGTTAATAATGAGAAGCTCTCTTCTTGCCCCAAGTCTATTGTGGAACTTCAGAAACAACCCACAAGCACTTCCCAACAGTTTTGCCTTTGGTCTCCTTCAGAGAAGAAAAAAATCAAAGGCTTTCTCCCTAGAAATGGCTGAACAATTTGTTTTAGCAGGGAGACAGATCTGGTGGCTCAGAGAACTACCCACCTCACAAGCCCCTAGGCTCCAGGATCAGCCAGTTCTCAGTGACCATCTGCACATCCTGGCTGCTCAGAGGCTCCCGAAGCCTCACCTTCACCTCCAGCTTCCCCCCAGTGGGCTTTCTTCCGTCCAGAACCTGTGACAACCACAGAGAAATGGACAGTAATTGAGGGCAGGTAGGGCAGATAGGTCCCAAGCAAATAAGGCATCCTGGGTGTATGCATCAGGACAGCCCTGCCTGCCTTCTGCAATATGGGAAGTGGTGGACTGCTTACTCTCAGAAGATCGTATAAATAACCTAGAAATCAAGGTGTCAGTGCTCTGGCTGAGGATGAGAAACCTATAGCTCTATTCTGTTTTTCCTCTTGATCTTCCTAACTCCTAGAATTAGCACTGGCTTCAAGGAGCAGTCTGAAGCCAGAGCCTACCCCCTCACACATGGCCCACAGAAAAATGGACGGTTGGGTAGCAGTCACAAGTAGAACTCAGGCCAAGCCCTCTTCTAAGGCAGATAAGGGAATGACTGAGTACAAAGTACAGCAAGAAGCTTGAGAAATTCGACCACCCTTAGGCAATTCAGACTAGGCCCCACGTTAGGACAGCTCCAGGTGGGGAGAGGCAAGCTCCAGCCTCTAGAAGCATCAGTAAGGATCTGTCCGGACCTGGCTCTACCAAGCACAAACTAGGAACTAACGAGTCCCTTCTTCACTGGCTTGCTCCCCATTTGTCAAAGGCCGGTTCTTCACACTCCTCAGCTTGTGTAACTCTGTAAGGTCATGGAAGCTTAAGGAGCTTCCTGCCCGGTTTTCAATCACAATTTGCATATGATCTAGAAATACTATATCCACTTCCTGTTGGGAGCTCGTTCTCGGCCTCCTGCTACTTGCCCACTGCCCCAAGCACAACACAGCCCTACAAACAGAAATCTATACCACACTGAGCATTGGTCAGAATCCTCAAGAGTCTTCTCTCAACTGTCCCTTCCTAGGAACTTAAGTAGTCCCAGACTATGGAAAGAGTATGGCTACTGCCCATCTGGCTGCCTTTGAAAGTTGCTCAGACTTTCTTTACTTCTTCCATCTATATATAACATGGGGATACAACTCATTCCAAAAGCACACTACAGACAAATTGAAAATGTGCACAGAACCCTCAATAGAGTTCCAAGAATATCAGCTCATCCTGGGCCTACCTCCATGATCTCTCTGATCTCACACTCATTCTCCAGCCTTTCCAATTTCAGGTGTGCTGTGCCAACCAGCTTGTCACTTCTAAAAAAGGATCTGGGAAGACAAGAGGCAACAGAGGATTGGCCTGGGCAGAGCGGGCAGGAATGAACTGGTCACGTTCAACAAACCACAGTATAGGAACAGCGGGAACAGATCTGCCATTTCTCCCCTTCTGCTTTGCCAGTGGGACTGACAGAACTCTTACCCTTTGTGGAAGATCTCAAATTTGATTCCTTTGCTCTGGATCACCCTCTTAAAGCCCCGGTGATTTCGGTTGATGTTTAGTTTGAAAACTTGTTCAAATTCTGCAAGGAGAGGATTGGACTTCTTAGGGAAGTAGAAAAGGAAGCCCAGGGCAGGCTTCCTCTCTGGAGCTCATTGCCTGAGATTCAGGGTGTCAGCCACCAGAGAAAGGCAGACCATGTAGGTTCTGGCCTTGTAAACACTTTGGTGCCTAGAGATACAGATTATATAACGGAAAGCATTTGGAATCTGGAGTGAGAATTCCTGGATTCAAGTACCATCACCCCCACCCTGACCCTTGCCTGTGACAGGGTTTCACTGTGTAGCCCTGGCTGGCCTGTAACTCACTATATTGACCACACTGGCATTAACGCTGCTGTGATTCTGCCTCTGCCTCCCAAGTGCAGGGGTTACAGGTGTGAGCCACCACACCCCAGCCTTCAAGTCCATTTTTAACACTTCCTTGCTGTGAGCTCCCAGACAAATCCCTTTACTCAACTAACCTCAAGGCTCAGTTTTTGTATTGCTTTTTCTTAAGATTTTCATTAATTTTTTTCTGCAGGTGTGGTGGTGCACACCTTTAATCCCAGCACTCAGAAAGCAGAGGTAGGTGGATCTCTGAGTTCCAGGCCAGGCAGAGCTACAAGCTACATACTGAGATCCTGTCTCATAGAAATTTAAAAAGACCTTTATTAGTTTTATGTGTGTATGTATGCACGTGTGTGTGCAAGTGACCAAGATTGCCAGAGACGTCATATCTCTCTCGAGCTAGTTACAGGAGGGTGTGTACTCCTTGATGTGGGTGCTGGGAAGCAGAAGCAGGTCTTCTACAAGAGCAGTACATTCTTTTTTCTTTTTTTTTTATTTTATGTACATCTGTGTGAGGGTGTGAGAGTATTGGATTTCCTGGAACTGGAGTTACAGTTTTGAGCTGCCATGTGGGTGCTGGGAATTGAACTGTGGTTCTCTGGAAAAGCAGCCAGTGCTCTTAATCACTGAGCCATCCCTCCAGCCCAAGAGCAGTACATTCTTTTTTTTTTCCCCCTTTTCGAGACAGGGTTTCTCTGTGTAGTTTTGGCGCCTGCCCTGGATCTCACTCTATAGATCAGGCTAGCCTCGAACTCACAGAGACCACCTGGCTCTGCCTCCCCAGCCGAGTGCTGGGATTAAAGGTGTGCGCCACCACTGCCGGGCTGAGCAGTACATCTTAACCACTGATCCCTCTCCAGCACTAGGCCTGTTTTCACAACTCTGTAAGAGAACTGTTAATAATACCTGCCTTTATTTTTGAGTTGGGTGGGGCCAAGTAAGACAGCAGCTCTAAAAACATGACAAGTTGGGCTGTCACACAGGAAGTGAGAGCAGAAATGGGTCTTATATGTAACTCACCTGGCGAGTTTGTATTCTTTACCACGGCTGTTTTGCTTTTTTGGGCCTGGTCCTACAGCAGTGAGATGGAAGAAGTTAAGACAGATAAAGAACAAACCAGGTCTACAGGCACAACGCTTTGGCTGGGTCAGCAGTAAGGACAGCAACCCCTGCAGACGGGCCGTCAACCCATCCCTATGGCCATGCCTCTCCCAGACGGCGAGACACTCAACAGCACTGGGGTTCAGAGGGCCCTAACCCTAGCAGAACCTCACCGAGTTAGGGTAGTGAAACTCAAAGCGCACAAAAGCATCCAAGTCATCGGGAGTCACTCCTATAAAGAAAAAAGGAGTCAGGTTGGAAAGCACAGTCAGAGCCTGGTGCCCAGGCAGCAGACCGGCTACGGGAACCACATCCTTCAGTAGGGTGACCTTGGGTTACCTGGTGGGGCTGGGAGGTTCATGCCCCGGACGATGATCAGATGCATTTCTGTGCTGTTGAGTTCTGAGAAGATCCTACAGATGAGAAGGAAGGGGTGCCGAGTGAAGGAGAGCAGCGGGACAAGCCGGCACAGCGGTCCAGGGTGGAGCAGGGCTGGGTCCGTGCCCCCCGACTCCTGCTCTGAGCCACTTCTAGGGCACAGCAGCTCTGAGCTTCTCTCGGAAGGCAGCACATCCGCCCCGCCCCCTCCACACACTCCAATACCCACGGTACTGAAGAGACTCAGGCCCTGCTCCAAACCTGCCCTATCCCTGCACAGAGCCAGTCTCCCTCAGGCTTTGGCACCTCACAGTCTGGAATGTCTTCAACTCAAAGTGGTGGCTGGGAGGGTCAAGGCCCTGGGCCTGGGCTAGCTGCAGGATCTCAAGCTGTTTCTTTCGGTCCTGAGCAAGCTTCTCAAACCTGCCAGGGACGGGTAACCAAGTCAGCAAGGTAGGATTTGTTATCTGGTCCCTAACCCAACAAGCCAGCACACCCTGACACTTACCGGGTAGTCTCAGCCACATTGCCCTGGTGCATGAACTGCTTGGAGAACAGCAGGCACTTCTAGAAACAGGAGCCCAGAGTGACTCCACAGCCAGAGCAGGGCTTGCCAAGGCTAGCATTCAAGGCTAACCTCTCAAAGCTCCTAACAGTCCTCTTTCGTTCACCTCTCCTACAGAACATATTCCTAGGGCACTCTTCCTAACACACTTTCCTGCTTAACGCGTGTTTATCAATTTGAGACAGAAACTCAGTTATACAGCCCACACTGGAACTCATGGCAGTCCTCCTGCCTCACCCTACCAAGTGCTGGTCTTGCAGGTATGTATCACCCACCATGCGTGGCTCTACTACACTTGGGTGCTTCCTCTCAGGATAGCCATTTCCCAAAAATTCCTTCAAAACTTAATTTATGTGTGTGTGTGTGGTGACACTTGTCTCTAATTCCAGCATTTGGGTAGCTGAGGCAGAAGGACTTTGAGTTTGAAGTCAGTCTAGGGTCCATGATGAGTTCTAGGACAGCATGCATGGTACACAGCAAGATCCTGTCTCAAAGATCAGCAGCATCAGAAAATAAATTCAAGCATACACCTCAGAACAGTCTTCCCAGAAAAGCCAGCACTTCAGGTCAATTCCCTTTCACAAAACCCATTCCGCTTCATAACTACATGAAAAAAGGGGGCTGGAGAGATGGCTCACTGGTTAAGAGCACTTGCTCTTGCAGAGGACCTGAATCTGGTGCCCAGCACCTACACAGTGGCTCACAGGCACCTGTAACTCCAGTTTCAAGGAATCCAATGTCTTCGGACCTCCACGGGCACAAGGCACATATATGATATATGTATACATACATGTAGGCAAAACATACATATTAAAAAAAATTAAACAGGGTTGGGGATTTAGCTCAGTGGTAGAGCACTTGCCTAGCAAACGCAAGGCCCTGGGTTCGATCCTCAGCTCAATAAATAAATAAATAAATAAATAAATAAATAAATAGAGAAAGAAAGAAAGAAAGAAAGAAAGAAAGAAAGAAAGAAAGAAAGAAAGAAAGAAAGAAAGAAAGAAAGAAAGAAAGGAAGGAAGGAAGGAAGAAAGAAAGAAAGGCCAGGCGGTGGTGGCGCACACCTTTAATCCTAGCACTTGGGAGGCAGAGGCAGGCGGATCTTTGTGAGTTAGAGGCCAGCCTGGTCTACAGAGCAAGTTCCAGGAAAGGCGCAAAGCTACACAAAGAAACCCTGTCTCGAAAAACCAAAAATAAATAAGCAAATAAATAAATAAATAAGTAAATAAAAAAGGGTAGCTTCATTTTGCAAATGAGGAAAACGGCTTGTCCTGGGTCCGACCTTAGGCCAGTGAGAAAAGTCAGCCTCTGAACCCATGCTAGCACACAGAGAAGGCAGAGATATATGGGCTGCTGACCTCATGCTGCTCCAGAAGTATTTTCTGTAGCTGGACATACACCTCCTCAGCCTTCTGGGAGAGTCGCAGATCCTCATGGTGAATGAGGATGAAGTCGCCCTCTTCATCCGTCAAGGGTGAAGGCACCTGCCCAGATCATAAGGCCCCTCGGGCCCAAGAGTCAGATTACACCTCTACTGAGCCAAACAAACACAGAAATCCATGCTATACTTTTTCTCCCCAACTGCCATTAACTTCCAGTGACACTTAGGCCTCATTCTGTCCCTGGCTATTAGAGCACCGCTTCTCCTAGACTGGCCCTGCACGTCACCTCTGACCACAGGTGACCCATATTCCTTTCCCCGTCTATCTCCCCAATGGTCTATCTCAGGGTTACAAAAGGGTGACACCATTTGACACAAGTCCTCGCTCCGCCCTGAAGCCACCTCAACCCATCAACCAGCCCCACCTCTGTGTCTGAGGCAGCCCTCTGCTTCAGTAGGGGGGACTCACCTTGGAGAGGTCAATGGGTTGACCTGCTCGGACCTGGATGATCTGGGCCTCCAGACTTTTAGCCACTCGTAAGTGGGATTTGGCCTGTTCCAGCTCCTGCCTGCGCTTGGCTTGCAGAGCTGCTCGTTGGTATTGTAGTTTCCGAGCCTCCAGCAGCGCCAGCTGCTCCCGAGCTAAAAGAAGAGGGCCAATGGTTAGGGCCCTGCCTCTCTCCGGACCTCCACTCCTCAGTCCTGTTTGTCCCTGACTCACCGGATGGACTCAGTGGTTCCTTAGAACCCGAGGCCTTGGGCTCTGTCGGAAGACGAGATGAAGGAGCCAGAGGCTGTGCTGGCTTCTTGGCCACTGGGGCCTGTGTTGGGGTGTCCCTCTGCAGGTAGCACCCAGTTAGGAGGCTATCAAAGTTATCATTCCCACCCTGGCCTAGACTTTGGCTACCTAGCCAATGCTGCACCCATTCACTCTGTGACCTCAGTGGAGTGGCTTTGCCTCCAGAGCTATAGAACTCAGAGGCGGAAACTTCAAAAGCTTTCTAGCCTAACTTCCCCAACAGGAAGCATCACAGGAATAAAAAGAGACTTGGGTTTGGGGGTCAGAAATACCCATGTCTGAATTCTAGTTCTGCCTCTGACAAAGTTTTTCTCTAAACCAGAGGAAAAGATCTCTATTTTATGAGGTTAATATACTACAGCAGGGTCTGGGTTTATTCCATATCTGCTGTCCCCCCGACTAAACCCTGAAGTCCTGGACCCATAGCCAAACCTCCTCATCTTCATCTACCAGGTCTGCATCTTCTGAGGCCAATTTCTGGGCAGTTGCTAAAGTTGCTGCCATTGAATCCTCCTGGATACCTTTCCTGGTCTCCAGGCCAGGGATGGGAGGAAATCCTGAGAAGAGACCGAGCAGAGAGGGAGCAAGGCAGCAGCAGTAAGGACTCGTGAGGCTGCTGTGGGTCTTGCCCGGCTCTGGGATGGGTAACTTGCACAAGGTGGAGGCAAACATATGAGAAACTTCTTTCTCCCTCCTTTCTTGCTCAGAAACCTCCTAAGTTCCATAGGCCAAGCCTTACCCACCTGGAGGAACAGGTAACTCAGCAAAGTCAACTTTCTGCCCTGCTTGATGAGCTCGAACAGCATCCTGATATTGCTACATGGGAAGGAAGGGATTTCTCACACCCTGCACCCTGCAGGCTCTATGCCCTCATTGCAGAGAGGCAGAGAGAGAAGACAGGGAAAGGCTGCAGCCCTAGAAGAAAAGGGGTCCCGAGGCACCAAGAGCTCCGTAAACAGACAATGACCCCGAGAAGACCAGGGCATGTAGGGAAGCGGGTAGGAAAGGCACAGCCAGGACAGGCCAGCATAGGATAGGGCTGGACAGCAACGGGCTCACCTTGGCAATTCGATCATGCATCCTGGCCTTGCGCTCATCCCCATTGGCCCGGGCCTGGATGCCTGCCTCCCGGTACCTGTTCAACCTCTGCTGTAAAGCATCCAGCACTGTTTTTGGCTCTGCAGGGGTCACTGTAAAGGCAGTAAAAAGAAACTATCAGTTCACCCTGCCTCTTCCCAGGCCCCCACTCCACTGCCCCACTGTTAAGTCCTACCTGGGGTGGCTGGGAGGTCAGAGGCCATCACTGGCTGCATTTGCTCCACTGCTGGGGACAGGGCTCCAGTTGCTGTGGGGGCCTTAGAAGCCTGTGTGAGGGTCTTCAGATCTGGGGATCCAGAGTAGCAAGGTAGGCAGAGTGTCTGGCCAACCCCACACCTCACAGTCCTCCTAGTCCCAGCCCAAGCAGATACCCCCATTATCTGACTGACCCTCAGGTGCTGGGGGCATGCCACTCAGGTCCACAGGCTGCCCCTTCTCCAGGGCCTCCAGGACAGTACCAAATCTCTGCAGAAGAAGAGCAGTTACAGGTACTAGCCAGCGCACCCCAAGAACCTGGCCTGAAACAACTCCACCAGGCCACTCTCCCCTAGGTGCTATCTGGCTCCCTCTCTGAGCCTCTGCTCCCCCATCTACAGTAGGAAAGCAGGGTGTCATACCTTCCCAATCCTCATGAGCTCCCGGGCACGATCTAGATCTCCAGCCCGCTTGGCATTGAGAGCAGCTACTTTGTACTCTCTCTGTCGGGCTAACAACAGGGCCTGTGGGTCTGGGTCTGCATCAGGCAGGGGGGCTATGGCAGAGCTGCCTGGGAGGCTGGTCTCAGGCTGGAAAAGGTTGTCTACATAAAACAAAAGAACCCCCAGAGAACATGGCTACAGAGTCAAAGGAGGGAGTTCCAGAACCCCCCAAAACCCAAGTCTTGCTGGTCTAGGAATTCTTGGAACAACGACAGGCAGGCAGCTGGGGTAGGCAGGCTAGAGGAACCAGAAAAGGATGTCTTCAGATACCTGGTTCCATGGCACAGGAAGCTGAAGAGTCTGTCTCAGAGTTCCTATTGGCTATCTCCTGGTGGGGTAGGGGCCTTTTGCCCAAGGCCACTGGAGGTGGAATCTCATCCTCACTGATCTTCCCACCTTTCCTCACAGTGGCAAGCTGGGACTCCAAAGTCTGAAGGAAAGAATTAGACTAGTAACCCAGGTAGCGGCCTGGGCCTTGCTGGAAGTCAGGCTAGTGATCCACCATGTTTACCCCACCTGTGAGTGGCATTCCCTGTGCCCCCACCTTATCCACAGCCCCGCTCTCCAAGTCTGCCTCACAGCAGCCTGACTCACCTTCAGGCCTCGCTCACAGCGCCGGGCTTTGGCAGCTTCACCAGCCTCCTTGGCACTGGCTGCGGCCTCCCGGTAGTTACGGATCCGTTCCTCCAGCAAAGCCTGCAGCCCCCGAGGCCCTCCAGCCTGCAGATACTTCAGCTCAGGGCTGGGCCACTCCACAGCCAGCTAGGCCCTTGCCATTCTCTCCCTGTGAGGAAGCTACCCCAGAAGACGGATCTCTGGGACTCCAGGAGAAAGAGGTGCCTAAACCCCCAGAGTATGAGGCAAAGCCCACAAGAGAGGCCAGACATTATATCAGGCAAGCAGAGCCCCCGCCCCAATCAGTAGAGGCGTCCAGGAGTGGCCAGAACAGGAAGGCCCTTGAAGTCTGTCAGCTATGGAAGTTTCTCATGCCTGCTCTCTGTGTGGGGGTTCAAGTTACTTGGCAACTCTGCTGTATAAGCCATGCTTCATGCACACTATTCATGAACACACAGGAGCATCAAAGACACATTAGGGCCCTTCTGCAAAACCTACCTGAGGCGCTGCAGGTAAAGCCTGTTGGGAGGCTGTCTGCACGCCAGGTTGTTCAGTGTCGTCCTGTGTCGTCTCCTCAGACAAGTCTGGGCTTGCTGCCACACTGCCATCATCGCGCAGTCCAGTTTCTTCATCCACGCCCAGGACCTCCTGCAGCTCTGTCTGAGGAAACACAGTCCAAGAACTTTGGGCGCCTGGTGGCTGCACTCATGCCTGGAGAAAATGTTTAAAGGACCGGCATCCCCAGCAGCATCTGCCAATGTCAAATCCTGAGCTTAGTCCCCTTTACCAAGAGTTCTTTAATCTAATCAAGGGAGACCTTGATAAAAATAAGAGAATCTGAGAATTCCAAACTGCAGACAGATCTCAGACCAGAAGTCAAGGCCAGGAAAGGGAAGGTGCTCACTTGGTCGGACAAAGAGGAACAAACCCCAGCCCCTCAAGAGCTCTCTCCTCCAACACTTCAGAGCTCGACCCCTGGACACCAGCCTGGCAAACACACCAGCAGGTCTGCATCCTCCTCCAGCCCTTCCTCTTCCTCCTCCTCCTCCACATCTCGCATACAGTCTGCTGCCAACTTCTCAATGTGGGCCATGGGCAGGGGGGCTGAGGAGAGAGGACTCAGGTAAGGTGCTGGACAGGAAAGGAGGGCCTTTAATTCACTCTATTGGCAGCTCCCCAGGCAGAACCCCCATCCCTTCCACAGCACAGCCCCACTCAGAAAGGTCCCACGCTTTTTTCACGACCCAGTTCAAAAGACCCTTGCTATGGACGCCTTCCTGGGCTCCCCGACAAGTACCAAGCCGCTCCTTGCCTGCGTTTCTGCTTGTAGGTTAGTGTACTGACACACTGCCCCACACTGCCTTTCACATCTGTAAATGCTTTTAACATCTACTCAGTGTCTTACTACTTACAGTTCTATAAGATGGGTAACACTGTTTATCCCCCCACCCTTTTTTTTTTTGAGACAAGATTTCTCTGTCCTGGATCTCGATCTGTAAACCAGGCTGGCCTGGAACTCACAGAGATCCGCCTGCCTCTGCCTCCTAAGTGCTGGGATTAAAGGCGTGCACCACCACCAACTGGCCCATATTATCCTCATTTTCTATACTGAATAAACTAAGATGCACCAACATCCATTTCCCCAAATTCACAATCTTAGTAAGTGGCAATATTCAAGCCCAGGCTTGTCTAAGTCCAAAGCAGGGCTAGGGTAGTGAGGCCTTCCCAGTCATGTCACTGATTTTAGCTCGAAGATAAACAGGCTGCCTCTGATGGTTCCTGCTAAGAGGAATATTCAGCCTCTTTATTTTGATACCTACAGGGAGATTTCGCTTTCTCATCTGACATCACTTTTATTTACTGTGCACATAACCTGTCAGTGCTGATGGCCGTACTGTATATGAAACCCTACCCATGCATGACTAATGCTAATCACCTGAGTAAGGCAAACAATCAGATTTGTCCATAACTGACCTCTTTGTGGCTGAACTACAGGAAGGGTAGAACTATCAAAACAACTAGGGGAGCAGGCTGACTGAGTCCTCCAGGCTGTAAGGCAAGGGACCCTCTCTCCCCCATGGGCCTACACCAGCCCAGGGGTGAGAACTCACCACGGCCCTTGGGTGCTGGCTTCCTGCTTGTGCTCCCTGCTTCCCCAGTGAGTGCCAACAGCTCAGCCTCCAGGTCGCCCTCCTCTTCAGTCTCATCCATCCCCAGGAGCATGTCCTCAGTGTTGAACTCCACGAAAAGACCCAGCTAAGAACACAGAGAGATTCTTTTTAGAGTTTATTTATTTATTTTGGTTTTTCGAGACAGTTTCTCATGTAGCCCAGGAACTACTGCAGACTGTCCCGGAACTCGCTCTGTAGCCCAGGCTGGCCTCAAACTCAGAGATCTGTCTGCCTCTGCCTCCCAAGTGCTGGGATTAAAGGCATGGGTCACTACCATCTGGCATAGAGATTTTATAATTTTATGTATAAGAATGTTTTGTCTGCATGTATGAATGGATACCATGTGTACCTGGTACCCTCGAGGTCAGAAGCCAGATCCACTGAAATTGAAGTTATGGACTGTTTTAAACTACCATGTGGGAGCTGGGAACCACACCCAAGTGCTCTTAATAGAAAAGCCAAATTGCCTGTAACTCCAGCTCCAGGGGATCTGATGCTCTCTTCTGGCCTATGGACACCCACACATGTGGCATACATTCACACATACATACACCTAAATCAATTTTCTTAATCACATAATGAACCAGAACATAAGAGTTAAGACAGGAAAACATCCCAAGTCCAAGGCCAATCTTGTGAGTTCACTACATAGTGAGTTCCAGGCTAGAACTCAAGACCATCTCACAAAATAAACAGCAAAAAAGAATCACATGACGAAGCCTGGTATGGCGGCACACGCATGCAATTCCAGCACTTGGGAGGTGAACACAGGATGATCGAGGGTTTAAGGATAACCTGGGCTATACATGAGACCCTTTCTTTAAAAAAAAAAAATCACAAAATTACATGTGGCGGCACATGCTTATGATCCCAGCACTGGAGGAGGTGAGGCAGGAAGACTATATGTTCAAAACCTGCCTGGGATACAAGGTAGTTCAAAGTCAGCCTAGTCCACTTGAGAAAGAACTTGTGTCAAAATTAAAAGAAAATCAGGGCTGGGATTACAGCTCAATAGAAGAGCACTTGCTCAAGACCCTGAGTTCATCCCTATTCACTCTGAGACCCAATTTGTAGACAGGTAAACAGGTCTAAAACATGGAGAATTTTTAAAGAAACCAAGAAAACAACAGGGCCACTATTATAATTAACAATAACAGCAGCAGCTGCTGGTCACGAGACTTAGCATTATTCATGACTTATTAGTTAATTCTCACCATCTTGAAAGATCCTATTACACACACACACACACACACACACACACACACACACACACACACCCTAATCTTTTTTAGGGAGAGGGGGTAACTTGAGACATGTTTTCATTGCATAACCTAGGCTGGCCTTGAACTCACAATCTTCCTGCTTCAGCCTTCCTAGGTGCTAGGATTATATGCATGTGCACCACATTTATTTTTCAGCTGTCATAAACATAGCATGAAATCTGCCATCTTACCTATTTTCAAGTGTGAAGCTAAGTGACATTATACATTCCCATTGGTATACAACCATCACTACTATCCATTCACAGAATTCATGTGCAAAACTGACTCTGTGCCTACTAAACACTAACCCATCTTCCCCTCTCCATCTTATTTTCTGTGTCCACTATTTTGAATATTCTAGGCAGATATAGGTATTAGTTTACCCCAGTGTTCAGTAATAGCTTAAACTTTCTGAACGACAAACTAAAATAATTTAAAATAAGGTTTAAATGACATCTATAACCTTTACCCCAACTCATCCCTTACCTGATTTTTTATTTGTCTGTTCTGATTTGTTAAGGTTTTTTTTTAATATGTATGATTTTGCCCACATGTATGCATGTGCACTGTGTGGCTGCAGTGCCCATGGAAGCCAAAAGAGGGTGTCAAATCCCCTAGAACTGGAGTTACACATGGTTGTAAGCCACCAAGTGGGTGCAGGGAACTCAATTCCATTCTGCAGCAGCAGCAGCAGCAGTGGCGGCAGCAGCAGCACTCTTAACCACTGAGTCATTTCTCAAGCCATCTGTCCTGCTGTGTGAATCATGCTCGCTACGCAGTCCACGCTGACTGGAAACTGCTATGTATCCCACACTGGCCTTACACTCACGACCTTCCTAATTCTGCCTCCACAGTACAAGGATTTTGGATGGGGACCACCAAGCCCAGCCTACATGCTTCCAGAAGACAATAAAAACAATAGCCTACGGTCCAGAAGAAACGAAGGAAGAAAACACAGAAGACCTGCCTTCTTCAGACTCCCTCCCCAGAGTATGTCCCTTTGTCTGTGGGCAGTAGCTGACTGCCGCTGACTACAGCCCTCAAGTCCTGGCATCCTAGAGCTAGAAGGCAGAGTTGTCACGCCCCCCAAAAATAAACCCTGTGAGAACACTTAGGTCTCAGAACAATCCACGCCTAGGAGCTCCTGACACTCAGGTTATTTATGTGGTATGGCCACCACAGGACGGTCGAGTTGAAACCCAAGAGATGTCAGGCGCCGGTCACTGAACTCAAAGGACTTTACCCCTACAGGCACTGCCTATCCTCTGTGAACCAACAAGGACACCACACAGGTGATGAGAGATCCCCACCCCAAGGTGACGGGGGGGGGGGGGGGGGGGGGCAGGCAGGTCCATACCTGCTTTGCAGTTTCAGCACCCTGGCCTCTGGTCTTAGGGCCCTTCCGAGGTCTCGGCCCTGGCATCTTGGCGGGCTAGATACCTATTGGGTGTAAAGTTGAAGGCTTAGACTGGAGTAGATGGTGAGATATGACCCAACAGGGGTCCCAGTGGTAAAACGCCGCTTTGTAATTAAAGCACAGAGGCAAGAGAAGGCAGTGGATGAAAGGCTGGGTACCACTGTCAACAGAGCGATATGGAGAGTCTGTACACAATAGTTACTGAACTGTCTGATGGGCATGGGAGCAACACTAGGTCCAAGTGCAGTAGCTGTATGTGGCTAATGGGTACCACTAGCCAACAGAGACACAGATCGTTTTTATCATCACAGTTTCCTTGGACACTCCGCACCTGACTCAGCATTCAGATCCTCTGAAAAATGTCACAAGTGATCAACGGGTACTGTGGCACAAACCCACCCCGCACTGGAAGTGCAGAAACTCGTCTGCTCCCATCCCAGTCTCCAAGGAAACAGACCCATGGGCAGACAACCATCGAAGGCCATGGATGCCAGAGGTGGCCCCTTATCTAGGACATCAAAAAAGGCATCTTAGAAAGGATGATGCCTGTGCTGAGTCATAAAGTTTGGAGACTGGGGAAGAGCAGAATCCCAAGCAAATCAAACAAACTGATAATCAGTTCTAAAGTGAGAAATGGCTTGGCCTACACAAGGAAAAGGAAGGCCCGGGATCACTGAGGCATAAACCAAACCGTGAGACTAGAATGGAGACATGAACCAGGGGCGAAACAGAAACCCCTTTAAGGTTCTAAATTTGGGCGTTATCCTGACAGCAGTGGGAAGCATCATGGGCTGCAAAAGGTGCATGGGCAAGTGGGAGATCACATCGGGCGGGACACCTCGGCTTTGAGCATCTTCCACGTCTATGAAGGAGCGTGGGTTGGCCTGGGGACTGAGACACAGACGGGGTCCCACGCCTGCAGCTGGAGTCAACAGGGCTGCGAGCTTCCCTGGGTGTGAGCCCCCAAGCGCCCGGCACTCCCAAGTGTCAGATTTCGACTCGGGAAACGGCGTAGTGTCAGCCGGGGAGGGCTGCGGGAGCGAAGGCGCTCGGGAGAGTGAGGCGCTCCCCAGCCACTCCGGTGCCAGGGGAACCTCGGTCGGGGCTCAAGAGAGGCTCGTCCGCGTCGAGGGGCGACGCCGTGCTCCCCAACACCCGCGCGTCCTCCCACGGCCAGGCCCGGCCCGGCCCGGCTCCAGCTACCTCCATCTCCCCGGCCGTCCCCCAGACTCCACACGCCGGGAGGCGGGCACGTGGCATACCTCGCGGCCGATCCGAACCAAAACCGGGCCTCCTACAGCCCGGAACCGCCAGGCTTCCCGCGGCCCCCGGGCGGCGGCGGCGGAGACGGCCCCACAGGAAGCACCCGCCCAGGAGGCGGCGGCTCGCGCCCGGCACGTGACACCACAGCCAGCGGCTCGCAGAGCGCATGTGCGCGGGGGAAGCGGGCGGGGCGCGCAGACAGGTGACGCTAGGGGCGGGGCTGGCAGTGCGCAGGCATCGCCGAGCAGGTGACGCTGGGGGCGGGGCTGGCAGTGCGCAGGCATCGCCGAGCAGTTGACAGCGAGACTGGTGTGGGGTTCGGGTCCTGCGCTCCTCTCCCAGTCCCTCGGTTGGGTTCTGGAGGATGGCCAGAGGATGGGGCTTCCTCGCAGCCCACCCCCAGGCGCTGAAAACCGGACTCTCCGGAAATGGGGCTCCTTTGCAGCCAGAGGACGGGACGAAACCAGATTAGAGGAGCCAAAGCACTCGGTAGACTGAGATAGGAGGATCGCTGCAAACTGAAAGGCCGCCTCTGACTCATAAGGAGCCCTCTTAGATCGGGATTGATGGAACTGACCTGCATGCAGATGGACTATTCCATGCCCAAAGTTCCCCTTTTTTTCTGTCCTATAAGACCCCGTGACCCACACCACATGTGCAGCCTCACTTCATGGAGGAACGGCAGGCGTCAGTTCAGATTGAAGGAACAGTTCTGTAGCCACGGGGTGGTACACACGCTAATCCTCTTAAAGTTATTTTAACATTTTTTTATAATAAAATGTTTAAGGTATATACAAAGACATACGACCATGGTGATATTTTGTTTGTGCTTTAACAAATAAAGCTTATCTGGAGATCAGAGTGCGGAGCTAGCCACTAGAGGCCAGGCAGTGGTGACACACACCTTTAATCCCAGCACTTGGGAGGAGGAAACAGGAAGTGATATGGCTGGAGAGAGAGAAGGGGGAGGGAGGGAGAGAGAGAATAAGTGATAAGGCAGAGACAGGAGCTCTGCCTTTTCAGTCTAAGGATTTCTAGAGGTTAAGAGCACTGGCTCCTCTTCAAAAGGTCCTGAGTTGAATTCCCAGCAACTACATGGTGGCTCTGGTACCGTCTTCTGGCCTGCAGGCATACATGAAGGCAGAATACTGTATACCTAATAAATAAATCTTAAGAAAAAGTTTTTCTAGTGGCTGGCTGTACTGCTTCTCTGATCTCTCAGCTTTCACCCTGATAATCTGACTTTATTAAGACCAATTAGAATTCTCACTAGTACAACATTTCACATTTACTGCTGGGCAGTGGCGGTGCATGCCTTTAATACAAGCACTCAGGAGGCAGAGTCAGGAGATCACTGAGTTCGAGGCCAGCCTGGTCTACAGAGTGAGTTCCAGGACAGCTAGGGCTACACAGAAACCCTGTCTCGAAAAACAAAACAAAATGAAACAAACAAAAACAAAACAAAAATATCATTTCAGTTTCATCCACAAAAGCAGACATTATTGCTGCCCCATTTTGATATCTCTAGCTTCCAAAGCAGAGCATGACACACGTTTGTTCATTCCCACAGGTTTGTTTGTTTGGAAACGGTCTCATGGAGTCCAACCTGACCTTCAGTTTGATTTGTAGTCAAGGATGACCTTGAACTTGTGACCCTGTCTAAATCTCCCAGTGCAAGCATTACACCTATGGGATTTGTGAGGTTTTAGGGATGGAACCCAGGGATTTATTCATGTTAGACAAGCTACCTCCCAGCCCTAGTGACACCTGCCTGTGTATGTAAATTAACACAAGACAAGGCCACTGAAATACTTCCTTTTCAATTGTCTTTCAGGAATCTCACTCTGGCCCACCCCGGACTCGTAAATCCTTGTATTCTCCACGTAATGAACTGAGATGAGACTCAGAAGTTAATGTAGAAGATAGTGTATAACAGAGCATGGAGGGCTAAGAGTGGGCAATGGCCAGAGGGACCAGTGAAGAAGAAAACTTCTCATCTAATGTATCTAAGTGGATAATGGTAAAGAATCACCTTTGTGCCAACTTACATGTAAAGATAAACTTAACACTGTTTTCCAAGCCTCTACATGTAGTTTTCCTAGGGGCTATTGTCCTGTCCAGGTGATAGAAAAGTGCATTTGGAGTTGTGTGTATGTTGTATATATATGGTGGCTATCACATGCTCATGAAGCACCTCCTAGCTTCCTCTACAGCTTTCCATTCTCCACCTTATTTCCTTGAGACAAAGTCTCTCACTGAACTGGAAGCTGTTTCAGCTAGGCTTGCTGATTAGTGAGCTTCTAGGATCCCTCATCCCCCAGTGCTGAGATTACAAACTCATGCAACCATGCCCAGATTTTTTTTTTAATAAATGTGTATGAGTGTTCTGCCGCATTTATGTAAGTGTACCACATATGTGCAGTGCCCACGGAGGCCAGAAGGCATTAGATACCCTGGAACCAGAGTTAGAAATGGTTGAGCTGCCAGGTGGGTTCTGGCAATTGAACCTGGGTCCTCTGTGAGAGCTGCCAAGTGTCTCTAACCACTGAGCCATCTCCGCAGCCCCCGCAGGCCCAGCTTTTTAGTTCTGAGGGCCAGACTCTCGTCCTTATGCTGATAGAACCACTCTCCTACTCAAGGAGCAACCTCCCCAGTAATGGGCTGTTTTGCTGTCCAGAGTTCTTTGTGTGGGAGTTTTTTTGGGTTTGTTGTGAGATAATGGTTTTACTATGTAATATAAATATTTAAAAGCTAGCATTCACACGACACAACATGTAGTATTATCACTTCATCTTCCTACTAATTTCCTAATTTCATTTTTCTTTACAGGTGAGTAAAATTCCCTTGTGTACATATAGGCATCACATTGCATCCATTGATGGACATCTAGGCCAATCACATTTCCTTGCTATTGTGAATAGAACAGCAATGGACATGATTCATGTGTAAGTATTTATATGGTAGGATCTTGTATAATATTAGAGGAACCAGCCTCAATATTATACATCCCAGGGGCTCAGGAGAGAGAACTACTAACAGCAAGGACTATTTTCAGGAAACAAAATCTCAGCACACCGAGTTCTATAGTCCACTTGCTTTAATTCCTTTGGCATAACATCCTTTATACACAGCTTCAGTTCTGTTCTCATGGCTAGCTCCTCTCTTGCCTGATTTCTCTATATTTATCTACTGTCCCCTCTAGGTTCTATCTTAATTCCTTCATCTAGTTCTGTCCCTTCTAGGTTCTCATCTATCTAGTTCTTTCCCCTATCAGCTCCTCTCCCATCTCCTTCTCTCTCATCTGGCTCTCCCTTATCTTGTTCTTCCCCATCTGGCTCTTCCTCATCTTCCATCTCGTTCCTCTAGTCCTCTCTTTTAGCCCTTCAATCTAGTTCTTCCCCATCTCAAGTTCTTACCCATCTAGTTCTTCCATTCTCTTTTCTCTTCTCCGCTTTTTGCCCTGGAAGTCCCAGTATATAAAGGGAGGGTCCAAGCTAAATTGTGTAAAGCTATTACTTAATGTCCACCTCTTCTAGGCGGTGTCTCCTTGTGGAATTTACCGTAAGTCAGGAGACTTGCACATGGGCTGTTATCATTGTTAGTCCTCTGAAGTTGGGCGCCCACCTGGGTGGTGGTTCCTGTAGTCCTTGAAAGTGGCTAAGGGAGATAATCTGATTCCAGAGAAAGCCTTTCCTGAGGCTGTTCTCCAAATACCTGGAATGTGTATGTCCCGAGAGTGATCAGTCTACACTGTTAGTCCTTCTTAGGGGAAAGTCAATTGGAAAAACTATGAAGGCACACATTTCGTAACAGAATACAGCTGATATATAACAAGGCAACACCAAAAACTCCTTGGGATTTGGCTTCCTCTGGAGAAATTCCCTGATTCCTCCAGGTAGTGACTTTGCCATAACCAGCTGAGTTCTTATGATATTCCCGCGGCCCGCAGTAGGATATAGTTATTTCTAAGTATACCCAGGAGTAATACAGTTGGGTCATGTGGCAGTTCTATTATAGTTATTTTAGAAACTTCTGTTAATGGAGGTTACCAAAAAGTTGTGCCTACATTTAACATTCTAGAAAGCAGATTAGTAACTATAATTTCAATTACTATGGAGAGGTGAAATGTTGCAGGTCTGGAGTCAAATTATCTTGGTCTACCTTAGGTGCCTAATTAGCCATTTATATTGTCCACTATTATCAGTTAAATCCTTTTGGAATGTGTGAATGGATCTCTAGCTTCGAAGCCAAAAGCTAAGAATGCCATCAGGTAACATCAGAGGCCCATAGCAAGGATGTCTCCACCTTGCTGTAACCCACCCAACTGAAGCTTCCACCAACGTATTTGAAGTTTTTCTTTGGAACTGGAGAAATGGGTTCAGTGGTTAAAAAAAACTTGCTTCTCTTTCAGAGGACCCGAGTTCATTTCCTAGCACCCACATAAAAGGCACCTGGTTTTCATTTTTTTTACTTTCCTTGTGTTTCTATAAAAACTCCATAAAACTGCGACCGTGTTTGAATGTGGTATTTGGGACACCCTAAATCTGTGTTCTTGGGCCATCGCCACTCATATTTGGCTCCAAAACAAACTATTTCTTAGTTACTCCCTTTGAGAGGAGAGCCAGATGTTCCGATGTTTTGTTTTCTTTTGGAGACACCATGCAGCCCTGGCAGGCGCCATGAAGCTCAAACTAGCCAAACGCACAGAAATCCCCCTGCCTCTGAAGTGCTGGGATTAAAGGCGTGCACCACCATGCCTAGCTAGTGTTTTAATTTTTGTAGTCTTTTTATATATTTTAGGCACTGAAGCATAACTGGTAAAGGTTTCTTTTCCACTCTATAGGCTGTTTGCACTTTACGGCGCAAAATCTTTTTAATCTCATGCCGGTGTCCCATTTGTTACTCGTTGGGGCTATTTCTTGTGGAGAATTTCTTGCCTACCAGGTGTGTGCATTTAGGTGCACTTGCCTATGTGTCTGTGCATAAGCTGAACACATACGTGCAAAGTGGAAGTCAAAGGTTCATACTGGTGTCTTCCTCTATTGCTTTCCTCCTTATTTTTTGAGACAGGGACTCTCAGCAACCCCAGAGCAGTTTCAGCTGGCCATCAAGTCTTCAGGGATTCACCTGGCTCCTAACCCCCAATG